TTTTTTTTTTTTTTTTTTTTTTTGTTACTTATTGCTATACATAGTTTTCTTATTTCAGGTATGAAAGTACATTTCGCTTAAAGGTAGAAAAAGGCAAAAAAAAGTTGTACATTTCATGCGTATATATATATGTGATAAAAAAATTAGTCTTCCAATTCCATGGGGTGTTTTGACAGTCTTGGCGGGTTGTGTTGCGTAATTAGCTTCCTTCTCAGTCTGTGAATAGCCGGTTAGTGTTCGGAAAATGGTTTCAAATCTTGGAGGTGGGCGTGCGTCTGTGGTCCGTTGGGTCGTTCGGCATGGACGAGTTTGACCGAATTCGTGGAAACGTAGCAGAGGATGATGTAGGGTCCGGAAAACTTGGGTGGGAGTTTTTGTGCGAAGTGCCCGATTGCTGAAGAGAGGGGGTGTTCCCTCTTCATTACTTTGTCTCCAATGTTCGGTTTCCAGGGGCGCCTACGTAAGTCGTAGTATTTCTTTTGCTGTTTGGCGGCCGTGGCGAGGTGTTTGGCGACTTCTTTCCACAGTTCTGTAATGTCAGGGCGTGCGGTGGGAGATTCTATGGGGGTTGGTCCTTCTGCCCGTATCTGCTGCGGTGCCGCGAGGCTGCGGCCAAAGTTTATTTCGGCGGCCGAAGCTTGCGTGGATTCGTGTTGCGCTGTGTTTATGGCGAAGGCTATTTCCGGTATTTCCTGGTCCCAAGTTCGGTGGTCTTGTTGTGATCTTTGTCCGATCATTGTCTTGACGACGCGGTTGACCCTTTCGGTGGGATTTTCATGAGGGGCGTATGCTGCCGTGAATCGATGTACGATATGGTGGTTCTGGAGAAACGTAGCCAAGGTGGTCGAGGTAAACTGTTTACCGTTGTCGGACATCCAAATCGGTAAATCACCCTTTCTCGTAGAGCTTTGATTACGGCTGAGGAGGTGGCATTTCGGACGGGTACCAACTCGATCCACTTGGAAAATTTATCCACCAAGACTAGGAGGCATGTGTTGCCCTGTTTGGAGCGCGGGAGGGGTCCGATGAAATCGGCGGTGACGATTTCCCAGGGTCGTGAGCACTGCATCGTAGCCATCAATCCTGCTGGGCGTCGTTGCTCCACCTTGTATGCTGCGCACATCAGGCAACCACGCACATGGTTGCTTACATCTCGATACATCCCTGGCCAGTAGTAATTTTCTTGTGGACGTTTGAGGGTTTTCCTGATCCCGAGGTGTCCTGCCGCGGCGGCGTCGTGGACTTCTTTAAGGATCTTTTTCCTTTGGTTAGCGGGGATGCAGAGCTTCCATTGCGGGGCACGGGAGAGTGGATTTGTTGGTGCTATATGTCGGAATAGTCGGCTGTTGATCCACTGGTAGTCGGGGTTTTGTTCGGGTTGCGTCTGAACTTGGTGTGTCTTCCTGTCGTACCAACTCGTACGTTGGCTATTCAAAGCGAATAGTAGGTCTTCTTCTGTGCTGGGGGCTGGCAGCGGGCACCGTGATAGTGCGTCAGCCACCACGTTTAAAGATCCCTTTCGGTATTCGATCTCGAAGTTGTATTGTTGTAGTTCAAGTGTCCATCTGGCCAGACGCCCGGAGGGGTTTTGGAGCGAGTGGAGCCACTTAAGGGAGTGAACTGATAGCCCTCCAAGTACGGTCTCATTTTTCGAATTCCCCACAGGATAGCCAGACATTCTTGTTCCGTAGCTAAGTAACGCTTTTCTAAGTTGGACAGACTTCTACTGGCATAGGCCACGACTTTCTCTTGATCCGAATGGCGCTGAAATAAGACCACGCCGAGTCCTTCTCCGCTAGCGTCGGTTTGTAGAAAAAATGGTTGGTTGAAGTCTGGGCAGCAGAGTATTGGTGCGGAAGTCAGTTTTCCCTTGAGCGCCTCAAATGCGTTGTTCTGTAATTCGCCCCATGTCCAAGTTTGGTTCTTTTTGAGTAACTGGTTGAGGGGTGCCGCGAGTGTGGAGAAGTTAGCGATGAAGCGGCGGTACCAGGAGGCAAGTCCAAGGAAGCGGCGAAGCTCCTTGATGGTTCGGGGCGCAGTCATTTCCCGTACCGCGGCTACTTTTCCAGGGTCGGTGTGTATCCCTTTAGAGCTAACGATGTGTCCTAAGTAATGCAGTTTTTGTTGTACAAAACTGCATTTCTCGAAGTTGATTTGCATTTTGTGGTTCTGAAGTCTATGAAAGACTTCGCGTAAGTAGGTCATATGTTCGGTGAACGTTTCGCCTAGCACGATGATATCGTCTAAGTAGGCGAACACTTTTGGTTGCAATTCCGGGCCGAGTATAGAGTCGAGGGCGCGCTGGAAGGTGGCTGGGGCGGAGTGTAATCCGAAGGGCATTACCTTCCATTGAAAAAGTCCTCGGCCGGGAACGGTGAAGGCGGTATATGGCCGAGACTTCTTGGCTAACGGTATCTGCCAGTAGCCGTTCTTTAAGTCGATGGTTGAGATGTACTTTGCTTCTTTTAGCTGGTCCAAAATGGCTCCGATTTGAGGCAGTGGGTACGCGTCGGGTTCACTAGCGGCATTGAGTTGACGATAATCAATGCACATCCGCCAGGTTCCTTGTTTCTTTCTGACTAGTACAATTGCTGAGCTGTATGCGCTCCTGGAGGGTTCTATCCGGTTAGCGGTGAGTAATTCGTCCACTTCGGTATTTATTACCTGCTGCATGCGGGATTGCGCGGGTAGTAGCGCTGCTTCAGCGGTTGGTTTTGTCACAGTGTACAGAACAGCGTTTTGTTGTGGTCCAAGAAGTGTGTTAATTCCTGATTTTGTTCTTCATTTAAGTGAGCCCGTTCTGTTAGGCAACACAATGTGGGTGTGGGCCTCGGTGACGTGTAGGGATTTAGTGGCTGGCCGTCTAAGGTCACAACAATGCCTCGCTTTGACAGGAAGTCCATTCCTAATATCATTCGTTCTGCTAGGTTCGGGATCACTGCTACCGCCGTGCGTGTGAATCGCTCGTTATACTTGATTCTGACGGGGTAGGTGTGTGTACTGGCAACGCATGTCTGATCCGCGAGTTGGACGTTCCGCTTATTAGGCTGAGGTTGGATGTTGAGTCGCTCTAAATGCACGCGCGTGCTGTCGTCTACGTATGTTAGAGTGGCTCCGGTGTCCACCAGTGCTCGTACGTGTAGGCCTTCGATGGTGACGTCGGCGTAGAAGCGACCGTCGATACTTCTCCATTCGGATTGCACTGTAGTGGCTTGGGCGATGGGTGGCGCGGTATTGATTGATTTGGGGCATGGGCAGTTTCTGGAGAGATTTCCATCTTGACTGCAACGGGAACAGAACAGTCGCCGTGGGTAGTGACAATGGTAACGCTGGTGCCCACGCCTTTTGCAGCGCCAGCAGGTGTTCCTTGCGTCGTACCGGTTACTTATGGTGGAAAGGCTGTGTGCCGCTTGTCTACTTTGTCTGGCTTCTTCGTTTTTGAGCAGTTCGTACTCATCGGTGAGCTCCATGAGTTCCTCGATGGTTTGGAATTCGCTTCTTTTTACGAAGAGTCGGTATTCGACTCGCAGACCGTCATAAATACGTTCTAGGTGGTTTTCGTGGCACATGACCGGATGTTGTCGGATGAGTGTCTTAAGGGCGAGGACGAAGTCCTTGGCCTTTTCCCTGTGCATCTGTTTCCGCTGGCGAATTTTGTCTTCTAGCTGCGTTATGTGTCGTTTGGGCAGAAAAAATTTTTCCGCCCCGGCACGAAATCTAGCCCAGGTGGTTATTTGTTGCCTCTGGACGCGGAACCATTGGAGTGCTTTACCGCGTAAAATCTCGGGCAGGGTTGGGAGGAGTTGGTCTGGCAGGATTTGGTAACATTCTGCCAGTTCCTCAATCCGATCCAAGAAGTCGTGCAGGGCATCGCCGCCGGAATAGTGTACGTCCCAACGACGGACAGTACTCATTACTTTGGCGTTACTATATCTGTCTCGCTGAGGAGCTGCTAGTTTTGCTCCTCCGGAGTGTAGGAATGATTCGCCCAGTTTTATGGCTGGGGTGACTTCGGGTAAGGACTTCGCTTTACTGGCTTCTTCAGCGGTGATCTCCATTTCTAGTTCTTTTAGGAGATTTTCGGTTGATCTTCTACTTCGCTTGGTTTTGATGAAGTGGCATAGAGCACTCCGTAGCTCTGCGACTGTGTTCCCTTCAACTGGTAACTGGTGTTGTCTGCATTCCTCCACTAATCTCTCTTTTTTCAGTAGGTATATCCAGCCCAGAGAGTCGGCGTTCAGCGTTGCGGTGTCGTTTTCGCTCGTCCGTGTGTTATTGGTTGGTTGTGGTGTGTTCGATGAACCCGCTTCGACAGGGTTGGTGCTTGTTGGTGCTTTTGCACATGCGCCTGCAGAGCTGGGTCCCTGCTCGGGCGCCATTTATGAGGTGGGTTTTATCGAAGGCTGAGGTAGCTCAGCCGCTCCAGGGTTGAGTGGAGGTCCCACTAACCCCCACTGAATAAAATAAACACAGTAGTTAAATATAGCGAACACAACCACACACACACGCGGCCGTTCGGCCAGGCTGCCGGTACCCTGACGTCCACGAAGAGAGGGGAGAGAGAAAGCGACTAACTGGTCGGCGGTCGGCGTCGTGGCTCAGAGAGCGGAGACTGTCTAGTGGCTAGTGACGGTGGCGGTGATGTTGAGAGTGGTGACGGTGAGAGCGGTGATGGTTCGGTGATTAATGACAGTGAGAGCGGTAGCGAGCGTGATGATGGTAAATGCCCACAGCACGGGTACTGCAGCCAATGAGAGCGACGATGCTGATCGTGATGGCAGTAGGAGTCCCTTTAGTAGTGACGGCCCTGCGGTGATGTTGACGGTGGCCCAAATAGTGGTGAGGGCGGTAGCGACCTCCCGTAGTGAGAGCAGTATTGGCGGCCCTAGTTATAACAACGGGCCTCTGATGAGCAACGGCGGTGACAGCGGCCCTGGATGGCGATGATGTTGCTAGCGGCCCTGAAAGGTGGCGGCTC